GCGACCATGCCGAGAAATCCAAGACAGTTAGGAATTAGTGTGGTCGGAGTTTTCAATTGTTTGCGCTCAGCCATTTTTTAAATTTCTTGCACGCCACGTAAACCCGCTCTCTGCCTTACATCTATGCCGCATCTCCCCTTCTTGCTGCGCGCTCCTTCGTGCTTGCCTCTTCATCTTCCCCCAACGTTACGTCCGATCCTCTCCTTACCTATCAACGCGAGCGATTGGCTGTCTAGTTGGGATGATCGGATCAATGTCGTGAAAGCGGAGCGCGCACATCTCTTGAACGACCAACCCAATTACACAGAACTATAGGCTCAGCTCTTTCGATCCTTCCAGAATCCCTGCCTTTCTTCTGTCCTGCTCATCTACACCCCATGCTACCCGCACCACGCGCTGGCACCTCGCCGTCTTCCACGCTGTAAATTCTCGCAGTCCCTTCCTCTCCTTGTCTTTGATCTCGGCTGCAATGTTGCGCAAGCTATGCGCGAAGTCTGCAACATCGAACACGCATGACGTGCCCAGTGACGGGCGGAGTGGCGACGTGGGGTGGAATTAGTGGTAGACTTGGGGTAAGGCAGTCAGAGTGATGGTGGTGGAGATCGAACGTCACCAGCGGCAGGGCTTGTGGCCATGGTTGGTTGATGTTCAGACTGGTTGGGGGCTGTGCCTGAGGGAGGCCAACAGTGTGTGAATTTTGAATAGCGAGGGACTTGTTTTATCTTCATTGCTGCTTTGTCCATGTGTGATGTGTGCAGTGTCCCAAGGTATGGGTATGCATGCTGATTGGTACGAGAGTCTATGGATGCTGAATGTCTCGCCGTCCAAAATAGATGATAACCGTCTGCATGAATGCACGAGTACCTGGGTATGCATGCTGATTGGTACGAGAGTCTATGGATGCTGAATGTCTCGCTGTCCAAAATAGATGATAACCGTCTGCATGAATGCACGAGTCCCCATGAAGCCTCACAGGTGCAGCTCTGGGGATAAAACAAGTCCCCATGAAGCCTCACAGGCGCAGCTCTGGGGAACACTGGGTGTCAACCGTCTGCATGAATGCATGAGTCTGTTGGATTTCCCTCCCTTCCCCGACCCTTGCCGATCCCGGCGCCGCACGTATGTGCAGAGATCGCCGCTAACTCTTTCCGTCAGGTGATCCGGGTCGACTGGGCTGTTTTTCCTCCACGACTTGCATTTGACAATGGAAGATATCAGTCGCATGCGTCTCCACGACACGGCTGATATCTCTGCGACTCAGTCCTAGTCACGTTTGTCCTGACAACTAATTGGTGATCTCGACGCTGTATCCCTGAGCCTGCACTCGGACTGAAACGGAGAGGGTGAGGTGCGTTCCATTGAGCTTTGTATGGAGTCAGCGTGTACTGCGATGCGGACATACAGAACACCCTGCGACGACCGAACAGAGTCATCTGTATAACCCAGCTAGGGACTGCCACGTAGGGGGAAGCAGGTTTGTTCTGATTGATCGGTTCTCTGAGGGGGTGACACGAGCAGCCACCTCTAGTAGCTGTCCCTGGCTGCTCCATCTATTGGTGGGGAGCTGCACCTGCTGGAAACCGGGGTCAGCGTCCCTGTAGAACAAGATCATCCACAAGATTAGTTTGAGAGCGTTCAGCCAGCATTGATTACCCCAGGATACCCAGGGGGATTGCTCCTCCCCTCCTCTGATCCTGCCTTACACCGATTTTACGGTGTTACCCTGGTCCGCGGCCCTGGCGGCCTCAGTTCAACTGTCGCTGGTGTCGGCAGGGAGATTCGTGTTCCTGACAAAGACTAGTCCTGGGATACGAAGGTGCAGGGCGATTCCCAGAGCTCTCCCGCAACGCAGACGCACTCCCGGCTTAACTTTCAGACCTGAGTTCCCCCAACCCAGCCCAAATCAAACAATGCCGCACCTGGACGCCCGCAAGGACTCAATGAATCTGACTCAGAGGCCTGAAAGTTCCATGCCTCTGGGCTCTCACCTCAGAGGACTCGATGAATCTGACTCGGTGAATTCCACTCTTCCCTGTCCTTTTTCCCTTCCTTTTGGTTTTGTCAAAGGTCGGCTGAGTAGCGCACCACTCTCAGTCTCCTCGGCCGAGCGGAAGTTTTTGACTAGGAACAGAGTGTGTCATTCTTTTGCACTCGACGACAGCCCGAACTCAAGAAAGGCCTCGAAAAGAAACAAGAATCCCCCGTTCCGTCCGGGGGATTCAACCCCACCGGCCAAAAATCATCATCCACACCCCCAATTACTGTGATCGTGAACGCCAGTATGGGACGGCGTGCAGGGTGTGAGGTTGCGCATCACATCCCCATGATTGTAGTGTCACATCAGCAACACTCAAGGACGCGTCGTCTGCAGTAAAAAACAGACGGAAAGCTCGTAAGACTATCCAGCACAACCTCGTTATGCATGTACAAAAGCTATCTTTCCGACCCAATACAATCATTATAAGGATGTACGCGTTGTTGTTGCACAGGGCTCTCGCAGATGGGTTCATAAGAGGACAGATGCACCGACTGCCTTCGCTTGCTCACACCGACACTGATCTCTGTGGTGGGTACCATGCCGCAGTTTAGTGGCAGGGATGAGAATACATGGTGAAGTGGATGAAGAATGACGACCAGACAGTGGACAAAAACGCAGAACGCAAAGCATAAAAAATCGAGTCAATCCAAAAAAAACGGGTAAACAGTGCCACCGGACAAAAATGGCTGGGGGCACCAGCCAAAAAGGGAAAAATACCACCATGCTCGCGTTTCCACAAGGCTTGACACGCAGTGGGAATATGCCTTGGCAAAAACAGAGAGGCTCGGAGGTACAGGTGGTTTATCGGGAAGTTGCGCCAATCAACATCCAGGCCACAGTCTCAACTTTCGAAGGAGAAACTGGTCTACTGCGGAACGAATACACATAATCGACGGGAAAATTGACAATTCTTTGAAGTCGAAACTCGACCGCACAAGTCCTTCGGGACATCCGTTAAAACTGGAACGATACAGAGAAGATTAGCATGGGCCCTGCGCAAGAATGACACGCATAAATCGAGAAATGGTCCAAATTTTTGAAAAAAAAAAAAGACACTCGACCGCACAACAGCGGTGGCCCAAAGGTCATGCCAATTCCATCTCTGTTGACACGATAATGAGGTTCCGTGTGTCCGAAAATGGATTCAATGCGGGTTCCGCAATGAACGATTCAACGACCGTTAAATTCCGTTCATTTGGCGTTTAAATTTTAAACACCAAAGCAACGAGTTTCACCAGGATCTGTGATGTTTTTTTTCGTGGGCTAAAAATGATTAAGAAAAAAAAAAAAAAAAAAAAAAAAAGGGGGTTGTAGATCTTTTTGAGGTCTACAACCTACAACCTCGTATTTTTATTTTCTTTTAAATCAAAAACATAAACACAATGAAAAAAAAAAGACAAAAGAAATGAGTGTTTTTTTTTTTTGGGTTTCACCGTATCACAGAGACTTTTCTAGGTTAAAGAAAAAGCAGAAAAGAAATGAAAAATATAGGGTTATAGATCTTTCAAAGATGTACAACATTTTTTTTTGGTTTGAAATTCATATATTTAAAAAAAAAAAAACTGAAACATAAAAAACAATTAAAAAAAACGAAAAACAGACACGCACGCACACACAGACGCACAACACACACAAAAACACATGCACACTTACATGCAGACACACACACACATGCCAACAATCGCACACACACACACACACACACACACACACACACACACACAAACACATGTGCATACATACATATTCATGCACAGACACATTCTCACACACAGGCACGCACATACACACATACAAACATACACACATACACGCACGCACAACACACCTGCACACACATAACTGGGGGGCCTTGGGGGTTGGGGGATGTGGGGGCAGATGGTTTAGAGGGCTTCAGGGTAGGTTTGGGCGCTGGTGCCGGGGGCTTGGTCAGTGGTGGGTGGCAGGCCACTCGGTGTTGGTCTCATTTGGGTGTTGCTTCAGGGGCTGGGGGAATGCTCTTTTTTTTTTTTTTTGGTGGTGAGG